AAATTAGCGAGAAATGTAATTTTGGCATTTGATTATCATTCGTCAGAGAAATTTTAGTTAGAAATAAATAATAATTTTGTATACTTACGAACATCTTCCTTTTCACTGGTTCTTTGAGGCTGTTGGACTACGTAATTCTGACTGGCTTCCGTGCTTTGAACCAGAGCATTGCTGACTTCGTTTGGAAGAGGCTGAGCGAACAGCTCGTTGGTGTTTATAAGGATCTCAGCCAAAATGTTCTGTATAATTTGGAGATAAAAAGAAAAAATTAACTACAAGTACTTGTTTGGTAGTAGTTGATGAATTTATTCATAGAGAATTACAACTAAATATTTACAAAAAGTATTTAAATTATCGTAAAGCGAAAAGTTTAATAAAATATTCCATTAACTTATTGATGACAGGTATATGTCTTTACAAGAGGAAAAACTTTCTTAATATTGACTTTTTGAAAAAAATGCATTCAAAAATAAAAAAAATATGGGTATAATATAGAGGGTGTCAAGACAACAAAAATCTATACTAATACACAGGGTTGTTCACCACATACGACACGGAGTATCGTAGCTAAACGATGAGATTTTTACAAATTGTAAGTTTGGGGTTCGTTGAAGGACTATTAGAGCTACAATTTAAAAATATTTTTACAAGATACAGAGTGTCCCAAATAAATAAAAAATATCAAAGTTGTATTTTTTTAAATAGAGTATTGTATATTATTAGTACTGTATATTATTACATTTTTAGTTTCTACGATTAAAATACAGGTAAATTTGATAAATGTTTATTACACTTAAACCTTACCGTTTTTGAAATATTTTCAATTTTGTGAAATTGCAGTCAAAATTTTAAGGCTTCATTTCTCCCAGGGTATCAAAGTTTTTAATACTAAATATTTACTGAAGTTTATTTATTGATCAGTTATTGTGCTGCAATAATAAAAATCATCTCGAACTATTCCAGTTACAAAGAATGGAAGTTTATGATCGATGTTGTTATTTCGTTCATTCGCGCATATTTACCTAGTTGACGTCACTAGGAAAATAATGAATGTGTAAAAAATCAAGAAAGTTGACAGGAGATCTGCATTTTTTTGGGGTTACGGTTAGAATTGTTTTTTTTTAAGACTTTGTAGTTCGTTTAATTTAATAATTACTAAAAAGAGCAGTTTAAAAAATATGTTTTAAAAATAATATCTTCCTATAGTTCTTACGTCCCTTTAACTGAAATATAAGAAACAGGGGAGTTATTATTCTATTAACAAAGATTTGGACCATAATAGGTAAGAATACTAAATTTATTTCTATATTCGGTATAAAATACCTTTAATTTATTAGGTTTTTAGTTAATCTATGTTTATGGTAAATAATTTTTTATGTTCATTGCCTCTGAATTCAACATGAGGACAGAGATGAGGATATCTATGGGAAAGTAACATTTAAAAAAATGTTGGGAATTATATTGTTTCCCATCGAAAAGTAAAAAAATACCAATGCAGATGAACTATGGTAATTGTGATAGAAGTAATTCCAAGGGTGAAGTTTATTATAATAAAGTGACCAATGCTTCTTTTTATATGTAGATGTTTCAGAATTTTGAGAAATAAATCAGTTGAACGAAACCCAAAATTTAGATGAAGTATTTGCATACCCAGAATATGCCCATCAAGGATTGCACATCAGCTCAAATTTCCTTTGATCGTAGGCAATTATTCAATGCAAATTAACTATTTTAAGTAAATCAATATTCAATATTATCGTTTGATATCACTGTAAAAATATATTATGTTTTTAGGTACAATTAGGGGCCAGATACATTTCAAAAAGTAGAATATTATTTTATATTAAATAGGTATTGTACCAACAATCAATTTATATTAATACCGCAGATTAAAAAATAACAGAATAAATAGTTCTTTCTTTTTTATACTACAAAAATAAACTATAGAATACAACAGTATTGAACGAAAAAGTTATGTCCCGCCGAGATTCGAACTCCGGCTATCTCGCTTATAATAATTATCCTTACGCACTGTTCTCCACAGTAACTTGCTTAGCGATAATTCAATGACGGTATATAAACAAAAAAAAACAGGTTTATAACAATACCTTGACGATTTGAACTGGCGCGCGGAGCGTGCTGACCAATAGCGCCTGTTATCACCTGTGACGTAGCGACCAACCTGCGCAATATCATACCTTGTATTCTTTGTACCATGGAACTATTCTATTTTCAAATATTTGGGAAGTTTATTATTAGATGTGTTTTACGACATACCTGTATATTAGTACTTTTTTCTACCACCTTTAGTAAAATAAATTTGTTGAAAAATGATAGATCGTACCACCAGCAGCTGATTTTTGTTGTTGTTTTGTGTGACTAAAGTGGGTAATTTGTGTTTTGTTCATCGTTATATATTATGTATTTGAATTTTATTGATGCTGCTTCCAGTTTTTTGCAATAAAACTAACTTCTACCAACTTTAGTTGAGTACAGTTGTTGGAGAACGATAAATTGGAGTACCAGCATCTGACTTTTTGTTGTTTTGTGTAACTAAAGTTGGTAATTTGTGTTTGATTTAAAGTTATATATGTATATGAATTTCATTGATATTATTTCAAGTTCTTTGCATGAGAATATCGTACCAACATTGTTTAGTCAATCAGGAGATTGATTTTTGTTCCGTTACAATGGGAACTAAATATACTAATAACACGGATTCGGAAATCAAACTTATGCCTTTAGCAATCCTCCAGCCTAGAAAGTTTTTATAGGCAGAGATGTAATGATCCTTAGACTTTTGTGGTAGCAATCCAAGACTTGTTAATTTGGCCACCTTTGCTATCTCTGATGGTGTACAGGGCTCATTATCACTCTCATAATTCATTTTTTGATTTTAAACGAGTTCTAAGGATTGTCGCGATTATAAGGATTGTTTCTACCTAAAAGCTGACAAGGGAAATAAGATTGTTATATTAGATAAAAAAACAACTTAATCGATAATGGTCCTTACATAAATTTGAAAAAGAATCCTTTGTCTAAGATGGTAACAGATGTTAAAAAAACTTTAAAAGAATGAATAACAACCTTATTGATTTTTCTTTAAAGAGAAAATTGCAAGTATCCATGCAATCCCTCAATACCAAAATTATATGCGTTGCCAAAAATTCATAAACCGGACAAGTCTATGCGCCCAATTGTTTCGGCTGTAGGTTCTCCGACTTATAATTTGGCAAAATGGTTATCAAGGGAGTTCAAAAATTTACCTAATCATGAACCTTCTTTCTCAGTTAAAAATAATATTGAATTCATTAATAAAATTAAAAATATAACATTGCATGAAGGTGAAATTTTGGTCTCCTTTGATGTATTTTCGTTGTTCCCAAGTGTTCCAATTCCACATACTTTAGGCTACTTGAAGGAATTACTGAACGCAAATGGTCTCGACAGCAAAACTGTGAATGAATATATTGAGCTTACGTCGTTATGTATGAAACAAAATTGTTTTCAATTTAATAACAACTTTTTTTGAACAGCAATACAGGGAAGGTACAGCAATGGGTAATCCATTGTCTCCATTTTTGGCTAATTTATTCGTGAGCAGGTTTGAAGTGGAGGCTAAGAATCAGTTTGAGTATTTTCCAAGAGTATGGTTTAGGTATGTGGATGATATTTTTGCTGTTTTTGACACACATTCAGACACCATAGATAATTTTATTTCTAAATCAAATAATCGTTTTCTTTCCATTAAATTTACACATGAAATTGAGAACAACGACAGATTACTATTTCTAGATGTATTAGTTATTAGAAATACTAATAATTGCCTGGAATTTGATATCTATATAAAAAACACGCAGATATATTCCTAATGAATCATATCATAGTATTGAACATAAAATGGCTGGTTTAAATTTCTTAGTTCATAGATTACTTAGTTTTCCACTTTCCAACGAAAGATATGAAATAGAAAGAGATTACATTAGGAATGTAGCTGAGTGTAATGGATATTCTCCTTCACTAGTTGATAAAACAATTAGAAACGTAGATATAGGTTAATGATTTCTGAAAATTCGACTTTTCAAGTGGACAAAGATACGTCAAAATGTTTTTCAATACCGTTTGATAGACAGTTATCCCATGATCTAAAAGGAATTTTTAAGAATGTCAATTATAAACTTGTGTATAGTGCTAATAATAAATTACAACAATTATTAGGTATAATCCAAAGGATAAAACACCTCTACTGGAAAGGTGGGGTATTTATGAAATTTCTTGTAAAGATTGTAATCAGAAATATGTTGGGCAAACTAGAAGATCAATATTAACTAGATTTAAAGAACATTTAGCTCAGATAAGATATGGTAGACCGGATAAATCTTGCGTTGCCGAACATATTGTTGATAAATTACAATTAGATGCATATGAAAGCATCAGAATTAATAAATGTGAAGATAGTATGAACAGAGACAACGGTCCAATTCCTTCAAGTTCTTTGTCCCTAATACTCTAGTGGCGGAAATCTAACTGTTGCGCTCGGTGGGTTCTGACTCGGTTGGCTAGATCTTGCCACGCCCACTCTGTGCCCACTGAGCGAGTATATAAACGCTCCAATTGTAGATTGTATTTTAGTTTATAATCATCTGCTGATGATGCTAACATGGTTAGCGAAACGCGCATCCAGTGTAAAAGTAAAAGTGTTTTGGTGTATTGTGGTGATTTAGTGTTTTTATTTTGCTGTGTCACACCAAAGGTTCCAACCCTCAACTGTAATAATATGTATTTGCCTAAATAGAGCGACATGCAAGCCGACACTTCAAGGAACACTGCCTTCTTTGTCACCTTGAGTATATTTGCCTAGTAAAATGTGTGTGCTAAACTGTAACTTTCTTATACTTGTGAACACTGATGACGCACATCACAAGTATAAGCGAAAGGTCGCCAATGCTCTGTATAGAGCAAGACACTAAAAGAAGATACATATTTTCTGAACCAATTACCTGATTTCTTAGCAGGTCTTCTAAGCGTGGACGGAGCTCTCATAACCGTCGGCTTCACCAGATATGTTATGCTGCGCTTGTGGCTCAGTCCGTTGGATTTTTTCCGCCTCACCGGGCGCCTGCGCGGCACTGGAGACACTCCCGGCGGTACGTACACGTTGGAACGACCGCACTCGTCCTCCTCGACACTGGAACCACCCTCCTCCTCACTCGCGACCTCGTCCGACACTAAAGAAACACTATCGTCGTCGTCGGAACACTCGACGGGGGGTACTCGATATGCGAGCGCGCTTTCAGTTAGTGAAGGTTTGGGAAACGAGTGATGCAGGTCTCCTTTTTTCTGGTACCGTCTCGAGTCCAGTTCCCTGTAGTCGATTTCCTTGGTTTCCAGATGGTAGATTCTGTTCAAAGTACCGTACGACGTATTAGTTGAAAGAGATATTAGTAGATAGCCAATGTTTCATTCAACAAATTGCTGTTAAATACTACATTGTATATCACCTTCAAATCAATACTTCAATCAATTTTATAATATCAACAAAATATCTATACAGTGTCACAGAAAAATTTCGTATTATATGGGATTAATTTTTGTTTTTTCATTCTCAATTAAATAACAAATGACAAAGAAAATTAAAAAGTTTCTTTGCATCTGTCAAATATGACATTTAAAGAAATAACTGGCTAAAAAAATAGTTTTCTGGCCAAAATTTAAAAAATTTAACTTTTAATTTTGCATAAGTAAGTATACCAATTTTTAGCCATCTACATGTAAAAAAATCGTGACTTTTAATCACTATCTGCAGTAGTGATGGGATCACTCGAATGAAAAATACTCGATCATTTAAATCCTCGGTATGTCTCGAGCGAAATTTTAACGGTTTCCCAGATATTCACAGTTTTATATTTCATATGCCATTTCCTACAGTAAATTTTTATCAAAACCACCCAATGATTTTTCTCTAATATTTTACCCTTGAAAGAGCCATAAATAATACTGCGTGTCATTAAAAATGTTAAAGTACTTTAAATACAAACAATGTTCATTTTCTTACACTCCATCTAATAAAAAAATACAGGGTGTTCCATTTATTTATTTTTTCCTTTTTTTTATTTGTTTTTTTATTTATTTTATATTTTAGAAAGTTTGGCGTAGAATTTTGAACACCCTGTATGATTTAAGATTACTATATTTATAGAAAAGTAAGTATAGACCATCTAAAGTAAATACCTAATATAGTTTTGATTTCAGGACAGTTCTCGTATTTGTAATCATTTTTTTAAGGAATGTTAAAAAATATATATTTTTTTTATTTATTTATTAATATCTCCAACATTATCGAAATATATTTGCTTATATCTTAAGATTATGTAAAGCGATCGGAAAGAAAGCCAACAATGCAATAATATACAGGGTGTTCCATTAAAAGAACATTCCGATCCACTCACACTTTTTTGAGCCATCCTATAGAAGTTAAAATATTTTCCTGAAATACATCCAGGAACATACTTTAGGTTTGGACTTAAAGAAAAATCTCATGTTTTTTAATCTATATAGGAGCTACAGATCGGCGTCGCACTATTGCCAGGCCCTGTAGCAACTACATACATATAGTAACGAAAAGTGAAATTTGAGCTAAATTACTTAATAAAAATGCCCGTATGATACTGAAAATCCCCTGAAACACTGTATCTGTTTAAAAAACAAGCAGTACCTCTCTTCCTTCTTCGTAAACTTCTTCTCCTCCTCAACCCTTTTACAGTACTTCCGTACCACCCCATAACCACTAGTAATCTCCCTGGTCTCCTCCACTTGCTCCCTCTCCATAGAAAAACTCTCCAAGTTGATCTCCTCCTCGTCAGTGAGATAGTCATAATCCCCTGGCAAACTCTCATATAATCCTTCATCGGTACTGCCCATACTACGGGTCGTAGCATAAAGAGGTGTATCCATTGAAGCTAAGGTACGAATTTCCTTCGTTTTGAACAGGGGTTTCTGGGAACCAGCTTTTCGTTTTTCTGGCGGTACGAAGATCATGGGGTCTAGTTTGAGGGCCGCCACAGCTCTTTGAGGTCGGGATACGACCACTTGGTAGATGTCACTTCGGATGGTACCTTAAATAAGTGCGGGTTTAGTTAAAACTGAAATCTAACTCAAGAGATATCACTGGTCAACAGGTTTAAATGTTAAGGAACAATAATAAGATACAGAGCGATCAATAACGACTGAAATAGTTTAGGTTATTCTGGCTTTGCTCGTTTGGATGCTAATTTAAAAATGTTTAGATTTTTTTAATTTTAAGTAGTTGAAATTCGGAAATAGATTTTGAACACCCTGTAGCATCTAACTAAAATATCTTTACATATATTTTTTTCTTCATCTATATAAAAAAAAATTCTCCTACCAAATTTTAGAAGTCCAACATCAGAAACAATGGCCAAATAACTGCAAATTTTTACCCCACTGAAAACTACCATGAAATATTACAAAAAGTATTAATTTTAGGTATATAACATCATACAGGGTGATCCGAACTGTATTCCGGAAACTTCGACAGCATATTCTGCACATTAAAATAAGTAAAAAAGTTCGTATAAATGTATGTCCTAAAATGTTTAGTTTCGGAGATACAGGGTGTAGGAGGTTCATTTTTATTTGGATTTTTTCCAAATAATTTCTGAAATAACGTCAATATTTGGATGAAAATTGGTGTCTGGGAGTTTTTTGACATGAGAAATTTGATTTTAATGTCAATATGACTCCTACTTATAGAGGGCGCCACCTACATATTTTTTAACTGGTTTGAAGAGTAATAACTTTTTGTCCGTACCTGTTTAAAACTACTAAGTAAAAAAATATACATTTACGACATTTTTTACTTAAAAAAGGTCTCTTGGAAAAAATCGCTACAAGTAATGGTTCTCGAGATATATAGAATCGAAATTATCGATACCTGTCATCATTGACATAAATTAAGCATGTTGACTAAATAATTATTAGGTTGAAATTATAAATTTGAAATGTTTTTGATCCAAAGGTTCAACAGAAACTTTTATCATCATTTTTTCGAAGAAAAATTTATGATTAATTTAAATAAAATAAAGTTCCCAAATTTATCATTTCAGTCAAATAACTATTTACCCAACATGTTTATTTTTTGCCAACAATGACATGTATTGACTATTCCCATTCTAAATATCTTGAGAACGGTTGTTCGTAGCGATTTTTCGTAGACATTTTTTACGTAAAAAGACACGGAGATGTATATTTTTTCACTCAGCAGTTATATACAGGTACGGATGAAAAGTAATTATTCTTCAAAACAGTTAAAGCACATATAGGTGGCGCCCTCTACAAACCGGAGTTATATTGACATCAAAATCAAATTTCTCATGTTAAAAACTCCCAGGCACCAATTTTCATCGAAATATTGACGTTACATCAAAAATTATTTGGAAAAAATCGAAATAAAAATGCAAATTCTACACCCTGTATCTCCGAAACTAAGCAGTTTAGGACATACATTTATACAAACATGTTTACTTATTATCTGGAGAATATGCAGCCGAAGTTTCCGGAATACAGTCCGGACCACCCTGTATATATAACAGTTATAGAATTTTAGGTAGAATCTAAAAATAAAATAAAAATAGAGCGCGTTGCATTTAAAAAAAATATACGTTAAGAAATATACGTTTTTAAATCACTCTGTATACTCTATAATAACTTCAAAATGTGTATCTTAACCTTCCCTATAACTTTTATATTTGACATTTTTTTGTAAACCTCGAAACAAATGAGATAATGGACTTTAATTTATCGTTGACTCACCCTGTAAAATAAAATACATTTTGAAATTGATATCAAGAAGTTATTTCTTTTAACGTCTTTTAGCACAGTATTACCAAACTATTTCTATCTTTTTTGATCATTTCGTATTTTTAAAAATGATTTTATTTAAACTCATAACTACAGGGTGTCCCAGAAATAAGTGCAAGTATTTTAAGGGGTGGTATAGATCTCGATAAAAGAAACATATTTTCCCCTTATCGTTTTTCAAATAAGTCCAAAATAACGGAGTTATTTTACTTTGAAAATTTAAAAAAAATATATTTTTTGCTAAAACTTTGAGAACCAATGCACTGGATCTTTTCTGGATAGTCTTTCTTGTAAATTTAATCTAATACCTATGTTGCCATATTATCAAGAAATTATGTTTTTTAACTAAAAACTAAAAAAAATTCTAAAAAAATTTTCCAAAATTTTCGAAATTTCAATTTTTTTTTCGCGAAAAAAACCTCATAGGCGTATTTCTGGGGTTGAACTATCAAAGACCTGGCCAGTGTTATCTCATAAATCAAATAATCAGCATCAACTTACCATTATCCTTCTCTTTACTCTTACTCTTCTTCCCTTTATTCTTCTTTTTCTTACTACTCCTCCGCCTCAAAGAGGTCCTTTTCGTGTCCACAACCAACGCACCGCTAGTCCTTTTGAAGTACCCATCCCGACTCACACTCAACTTCGGTTTGGGCCGCGACTTTTTCCGAAAAAAACCTTTCGTCGATGACCCATTAGGGGCGAAATTCGCGTGAAAATCACTCAGACGCGGAGCACTGATCGAAAAACTAAACCCGGAATCCTTACTGGAAAACAAACCAGTCGACGTAGTGTTATTGCTGGTCGAACTCAAAGTCCTCGTCACCGGAGGCGTGGAACGTTTATGCAACCTATTAGACACCAAAGGATCGTCACGAAGGTCCTTCAAAGCACTGTCCAGCGAATGGTGAGCTGGTGGTGGATTCGAAGCAGAAGAAGATTTAGGCATTTCCAGACTTCTAGGCGTCATGACTTGAGGAGCATCCATCCAAATTCTTCCTAAACTTATCGAAAGAGAACACATTTCTTCAGTACCGGAGTCAGTAGGTAGAAGTAGCGGTGTAGGACTCTGTCGTGACCTTCTTCGAACCAAGGGACTTTTCTTGACTTCAGTTGAATCACCCCAAGGAAACATCTCGACAGCAGAATCATTACTCTCCTTTCTACAAAGGTTTGAGGTGACTTGGTTATAGATATGAGTCGTGGAGGTGTTGTTTTTCTTCCTTACAACCGGAGATGAAGACAGTTGTCGTATTACTGGACTCGAAGGCCGTTCATCTGATGCAGGGACATAAATAATTGTTCTTTCAGATCCTTTAATTGATGTTGAAACTGGAGCGTCTTCTTTTCGTATTTCCTGCAACCACTGACTGTACGCCACAACGCTGTTACCTTCCTGGTTCTGTTTTCTATAGTTTTTACTACAAGCTATCTCTTTCCCAGACTTAATAGTCGCATTTAAATCAACTTTATCAACTTGAACCGATGTATCAACCTTCTTAACGCCTTCCTCCGGTAACTGACTCAGTAATTCCTCTTCAGTGACTGTCTGAGTAGCTACTTCAAGCTTGGGAATGATCTTCTTCTTCCCCCTATCCAGGTAACTCTTCCTGATCGAGATTCTCTTGAAAGAATCGCTCCTTTTAAACGATGACTCTTTGTCTTTCTTTTTTCTGCCGCCGCCCATGAGGCGACGCAAGTTTTCGAAAGTTATAGGCTTCATCTTAAGGGTTTTTTGGAGGTTTAGGTGTTCAAATGCAGCGGTGGTGCTGTCGGTTGATATTTGGCTATGGTTCGCCACATTTTAGTGTTTTTGTTTCGCTGTTTTGGAGTGTGTTCGGTTAGTTGAGAGCTTCATATCGCTAAACCTGAAGATAAAATAAAATTGGTTAGTGGTCTAAGGGTTAATATAATAATAAAATTGCTCTTTGGTCGGAATCACAGGTACACATGTAAACGTGATTTTTATTCGCTGTGAATATGAATTTTACCGTGTTTATATATTATTATTATTATATTTATTGAAGGTTATGAGGTGAATCTTTTAACGATTGCCGTGATATATAT